AATAATTATTTACAGTCTTCAACAAAATATGATTTTGTTTGGTTTTTTTAAGGCCATCCTTGTTTCTTCTAATAAAAGTTTATTTTTAGGTCTCTAGAAATTCCATCATGCCCCCAGAAGTAGGACAGGCTAACAGGGAGATGGTATTGGCATACTTGTTTTGCCGTGGATGGCTGATGGAGACACAAATTGCAGGCCTTGTGTGGAGAGAGAAAAATCGGCAAGTTTAATGACATTTTCTGGATTTGGGAACAGAGTATTGGCAAGAACTGATAGGGGTTTTCTGAAGGGTGCCATTTGCTGTTAATAGGAGCATGCAAGTTGAATAAGGATGGTATTGGGGCAGGTATAGGTAAGTGTGAGAGATGTCCCATACTGCAGACGAGTGTAGGAATCTCTCTCGTTATCCTTCTGGTTTCAGACATCTGAAAGTCTCCAGAAAAAATACACCATTCTGGCATGTGCGTGCATTGAGTGTTGACATACACATCAAGTGTGAACTCCAGTGAGGTGGATGACTTTGTGGGATGGATACGTGGTTCACTTCTATAAAATCCTCTAGCTGTGATACCACCCAGTATCAGTTGTGTGTTCTCTCTGTGATACTACATAGTATCAATTTAGTATTTCTGCAGAATTTTTCTAAGAGGAAGACATTATTCTGGATGATGGTTTTTAAGTTGCAAAGCCTAACACTTAAGTTAGGAAATGTCTGCAGATTCAGGAGCCTGATGTGAATGCCGTTAATATGTTTGTATTTCAAGCTTATTCTCTTAGCTAAGGCTATCTTGAGCTGAAGAAAGTGGGAGAAGCTGTTATTTGGGTTTATGTCCAATCTGACAAGTTTTAAATAGCTATTCTGCTGTAATTGCATCACAGCCCATTTGTGAGGTTCTTACAATTTTCAGATTAAAACAAACAAAAAGACATTTGATTTCTTGGCACCAAAGGTTAATATAATATCAAGATTGAAGATGATGATGAACTTCATGTTGTCTTAGAAAGATTTCATGGTTATCTTGATTTACATAATTCCAAAAGTGATACATCTGCACAATATAAAACTTAATAATATTTCAAATAAAGTTATTAACATCAGCTGTCTTCTGTAAGAATCTGAGTTTTAACAGAGGGTAGTGTTTAACAGTTACATCCGAGGGTCTTAGTGTGTTCTACGGTCAACACCTCATTCTTCATATTATACTTGTGGGAAAGAGAGGCAGAATATCTCTGACTTGATGAAGGAGTCAGGAAGAAGAATGCAGTAGACCATTTCTCTGCTACAAATTATGAAGAGTAAAAGGGCACAAAAATTCATACCAAACTTGATTATTAGGGGAAAATTTCATACATGTGAAAGATCAAGAATTATACAGCATTAACCACATTTTCCTCACTACCTCAATATTTTTGAGGAAAAAATGATATAAGAAAAAACCACCACCACCACTTTTCATGTATTTGTATTAATTAGGGAAATAGGGAGGACAGACTGATACAGAAAAATAGCAGGTTTGCCATCCCATTTCTTTTAGAACATTAGGAAGTGCATGGGGAGCAGTCTGTTGTGTCTTCTAACTTATGCTTTTAAAGGCAAATCTACATCAGATATTATTTTAAACTATAAGCAGATCATAGTTCATGTGAAGTTGAGTGATGAACATGTCAGCTACGGTGCAATTAATGTTGGAGCTATCTTTCCAACTGTATTTTATGTAATTAATTATATATGCATATAATAATGCCCAGTGAAAGCAATGTACCACACAGTGTAGTTGTAATTACTGTCCGTGTTATTTCATGATGTGGCAGCAGCTGCTCGACTGTATTGCAAAGCAATACAAAGCAAAAAATTGCACTTTTTTGAAGCATTTCTTTCTCCTGTAATTCTATTGCCATTGCACCGTGGTAAGCAAGCAGAAGCAGTCTTTAATCTCATTTGAATTGGGAGGAAAAGTTAGAGGTAGAATAAAAATTAGTTAACTGACCATCACAGAATTGCTTTATGTTCTCAAACTATTAAAAATCCCTGTAGGATAATTAGGAGTAGCAGGGAGGGCAGGAGGGTGTCGCGGCAGTTGTGACACCTGATCAGGTGCTCCGTACAGCATCAGTCTGCCCCGCGGCGGCGCTGAGGTGATGGGGCTGTGCGTGCCCTGCTGCTGCTGCTGCTGCTGCTGCTGGGGGCTGGAGGTGATCCCTGTGGAGCACAGATTCCATGTCAGGGAGGAGTGGGGTAACCGTGTCTTTTACTCCACGCCTTGCAGAACATGTATCCTGGTGGGAGCAGTGGCTTTGCTTTTAACTTCTCTGGTTGTCACAAGCAATGTGTGCCAATGCTTTAGCATCTCTCTCAGTCGTAAGTAAGTCTTAATGCCCTAAAGTATTGTCAGTTAAAAGGAAGGGAAAAGCAAATTTTCTAACATTGCAGTTGAATATTCTGAAGTATATTGCAGATGTAATGCTTTTGTTTCTTACAAGGTGTTTTTGCCATCTGCCTGAGTTAAGGAGTCCTGCTTTAGTTCTTAGTGATTGAAACAAAACACAGCAGTCTGCAAGGTGTTTTAATAGTGTGGTTTTAAAAAAAAAAAACCAACACACGAAACAAAACACTGTAATAGGTGTGTTAAGGAAAATAATCTTCAGACTGCATGCAAGATACAGGTACTAAAGCATATTTAGGATCAGTTCCAGTTGAAGCTGTAGCACATTTTCCTTAACAGCGTTAATGTTAGGATATAAGAACTGTGACCCATCTTGTGCATTACTTCTATTTGGTTTAAAGGAAGCACAGTTCATTCCTTACTAAGACTGAACAATAAGGATACTGAAGATGCAGATGTTTATGTGAAATGTTAGTTTTTCTTTTTGAAACTCTTAGAGCTGCTTTAGTAACAGAGGAATATGACTTTAAAACATCTTCTGTGATATAAACCAAATAAACTAAAAATCTTGGATGAGCTTAGGGTTTGCGGAAACTTTTTTGAAAGCTTCATCTAAAAGATATATTTCTGAATAAATTCCAAAATCCTTCAATTTAGAAGCTACCTCTCCTGTGAATGTGGTCAGTTCTCATATTATACTGATCACTTAATAAAATTAATGGGTGGACAATAATGAAAATATGAGTTCTAAGTATTAGAGAGTCAATTATTGCATTTTTTTACAGAATTATTTTTAGGCTTCTGCTAATACACTGTTGCTTGAAAGTATAACAGCAGTTATACTGCAGTAAGCTGTTCAGAAATGTTTTCTTCCCCCAGTTTTCATTTTGTTGGAAATACCTGGCTATTACATTAACAGAATACCTTAACCTAAAATTTAGGGTTGAATTTTCTGCATCAGGCCTGCAACCTAAAATTTAGAGGTGGATTTTCGGCATTAGGCCTGCAACATTCTGGAGGCTGTAATGGTAGGATTATGAAACACATTGCATTTATTTGCTAAGTGATGGTCATGGTTGGGTTAAAATAGGCAATAGGAAGCTTTTGCAGGGCAAACAAGTAGCCAAAAGGCAGCAAAAGACAAAAAATGGAGAGAGGATGGTGTTTGTGGTTGGAGAGTAGTAATCCTTGCCTGAATTTTTTGATAACTTTTCTAACTGTCTCAAAAGGCATGTCACAATCCCATAAATTGCACTTTTCTGCTTACTGGAATATTGTGACACTGCTGTTTACTGCCCTTTGTGTTCAAACCATGATATATATATATAAATTCAAATAGGATCTTAATTTGTGTTGGTATTTAGTGCAGCTACTACTGAGAGGAAAAGCAGGCAGGATTGGAATGGTGTCTGTGTTGCAAGTGTTGCCATGATGGGTGCTAAACTCATACTTAAATAGTTCCAGGGCTACCAGCAAGTAGATAAGTTTCTAAAATTATTCTCCTCATGTCTTGTTTGGGATAAGGGAGTAAAACCAGCCTGATTAAAATGAGATACAGATCAAGTATTGCAACACTTAAGTTTGTCATTTTTTGTGGCAGTTTATATGGCATTCATTCAGTGCCAAATTCCATTGCTTGGTCTTTAGTTGTACGTTATTTTATGGGAAGGTACAGATTTCAATGAGAATTATTCCATCAATATTGTTTCTTCAAAGGCTTTTTTATTTAAAGTTGCTTTGAGTAAGATTTGTAGATCAGCCTTTTTAGTGGCTGCAGTTACTTCTGCATTCAGTATTTTTAGGTCCCATCAAAGCAACTTCAGTTCTGTTATCTACCAGTCCCATCTTACTAGATTTAAGTGGCTTTTTTGTTTTGTTTTTTTCCATGCAGGTACTGCTCATTATTCACCACGAGTGTGGATCTGAAGAAGAGTTAATTACCTCTATTTTTTTGAGTATGTTTATACTTCAGATACACACAACGTAGCCTCCTTCCCCATTAGATTCTTAGAAGGTAGTTATAAAATTTTTTCTAGTATCCTTCTTGTGGCTTTAACAGTTATGATCAGTAACAAAATGAACTATTCCTTACATTTTGGGCAACTGCATGCCAATCAGTTCACTTAGAACCTCCTGGAGGTCTTTCGCATGCCAAACTTTAAAACTGAGTGTGTATTTGTGGAGGTAACTATGTTAAAAAGAAATCTTTTAATAAAACAGGGTTTTTCCCATTTACTGGACTTTGGAAAATAAGTATTACATTGGTTTGGAAATCAGTTATGTGAGCCATATTTGCTACTTCTGTTTTAAAATTCAGTTTGTGCTGCAGTCCTGGGGGAAAAAAAAGAAAACCAACTATTTGGGAAATTATAAGACACTTTAACAAATTGTTTCTAGATATAGTTAGGCTATTGTATAAATTACTGTATAAATACGATCATATTATATCTGTTGTGCTCATTTTAAAATGCTAGCTGAAGTTTCCTTCTCTAGCAAAGCAACTGCTAAATATTGTGAGGTCTCTGCATTAGTTCAGTGTCTAGAACAATATTGTGCAATTTATGTTTGTAAAAGTAAATCTTGTGTATGGTTTAGATAAGTGTTTGTTTTATTTAGGGTTGGAAAAAGGAGAGAATTTTGGCTGAATATCCTGATGGAAAGATAATAATGGTTCTTCCTGATGACCCAAAGTATGCACTTAAAAAGGTATGGTGAAAAGAACTGGACTTGTGTATCTTACCTTGTTTGATACTTTAATATAAGTAATGAGAATGTTCATAGACAGTTTGTATAATTTATGTGTGAGCAGCTGAAGTTGGACTGGGCTGCAGCGGTTCTGCAGCTTTTTCCACAAAGAGGTTGGACATCTCGCTCTTACGCCCTGCTGCTCTCTTCATAGAGAGGATGGGTCTGAGCAGGAGAGGAAGGCAGGGGTGGGAGGAGCACCAACCAACTGGGTTTTAATTTTATTTTATTTTTTTTTTTACATTTTTAAAAATAAACTTGCTGAATGACTGCCACATATTTTGTGTAATATAAACGTCCTGCTATATTTAAACAAACTGAAATGTATTGACGTTATTGCACAGTATGAATATGGCACCATTCTCTAAATGTTTTTTGGATAAAAACAGATTTATGTGGAAAGTGGCCTCAAAGTCATCTAGTCCTTTCCCATGTCCAGAGCAGGATCAGCTCTGGTTATGATGCATCTGATAACTTCTTGATAAAACTTGTACCACTGCAGGTTTTTCTGACCTCCTTGGACTCTGTTACAGAGCTTCACTATCCATAACATGAGGAAATTTTCCCTAAACATCCAGCAGAATTCCTGTACTGCAATATAAGCGTATCGGTGCAAATCATAGTGCCATGGCTGTGGGAAACAACCATCTTTTCTGCTCCACAACAGCTTTTTTGTGCGTGAACAAACTCTGATTGTTTCACCTTAAGGAGATTGATGGGATCTGCTGGTTTTAGCTTTATACTCCTAAATATCGTTTTCTAGAGCTCTGATCATTGCCGTACTCTCCTCTAGGCTGCTTCCATTTGTGCCATGTCTCGCATCTCTTCCAAAACTTTTTATCTAAAACTGGGCACAGTGCACTAGTGGAGCCTTAGAGCAGCAGGGTACTTTGGTGTCTTGCCAGCCTGTGTTCATACATCTTAATACGTCATTACACTTGTGTTTTCAGCAGCATGACATTGATTCTGTTTAGTGGGGGATTTGCTGTGACCAGTGGGTGCTTTTTTACAGTACCACTGTCACAGGATCACAGAGTGGTTGAGGCTGGAAGGGATCTCTGGAGGCTGAATTGATGCCCAGGACAGCTCTTTCTGATGGCGTGACTGTAGTGGGTTTTCTTTAGCCTAACATAGAATTTTCCAAGTTACTGAACTGAAAAGAAAGTACCAGTTTTCTTTTTTTTTTCTTTTTTTTTTACAGTTTTTAATACAGACAAGTTTACTTATTAAGTTTTGTTTCTCTGGTGGTATTATCTTTATTTTAGTACATTTATTGCATGTTCCTTTTTCACTAAAATGACTGAAGAAAAATATTACTTGAAATACCTAAGTGGAGCTTACCTCCCGTCCTATGGCAAGGAAGGCAGTAGCGAATGACGTAATTTAGGACAGAGTTCTCTGTAGTTCTGTGTGGCTAAAGTTGAGAGGACCTACAGCTGACATCACTGTGGGTGACTGACTTCAAGAATAGTTACTTAGTGTTTCAAATTGGCTAATTAGACTTGTCATTAAAAGACTGGTACCTGAAGGTTAGATGAGAAAGTAGAGAGTAAGGGATATCATGCCTTTTAAAAGTTATTTAAAAGCATTTTTTTAAACACAATTTTCACTTGATCAGCACTAATTTCATATATTCATAGCATCAGTAATTCTGGTTTTGCTTTACTAATGTAACTACAATGTGTGTTGAAGAAGCTTGTGCTGTTTAATGCACAGCACAGGAAAGGCGCCTTATTTCTGTCTCATTGGAGATGACAGAGGGATGATAAAGGCTTTTTCAGTGCCTGGTTGTAGGTACAAGAATCCCCCAGTAAAATTGCAGCTCATGCATAAACTTTTGTTTACATTCATGCTGGAGTTTAAATATTTCTTCTAAACTTGCTAATATTACACAAAATATTATTTTTAGTTTTAGTTACTCTTTGCAGAGCTACTGGAAGAACAGAAAGCTGGAGGAAGGAAATGACGGTTATTCATTCCTTTACAAGAAATGCATCCACTTTCTAGCTGCCTTGGCACTGTGCTTGTTATTGTCTCCTCAAAACCCTTCATGGATTAGTTCTTTCAAGACCTTAAAAATAACAGACAGGAAACCTTCAGCTAAGCTAGTTTAACTTTTGGCACAGATCTCATTTACTTCTAGAATACCAGAGTCCACTCCTGTGATTATCTGCATTCTCTTTATTAGCCTTTGAATAATTGAAGCTTGGACTTAATGGAAGCTGACTTAGAGGTCTCTGCTTCTCCTGTTTCCAGCTGAGTATTATTTAAGGAACATTTATGTGGAACAGTGTGTTGCAGGTTACTTTGGGTAATCCCTAACTTCTGGAACAGCTTTGAGTGTTCTAAATACCTTAGTGCTTTTTTGCAAATATAATATCTATTTATACAAATGTATATTTACATGGGTTTCTTAAACAGCATATAAACTTATTTTAACAGGTTGAAGAAATTAGAGAAATGGTAGACAATGACTTGGGATTTCAGCAAGCTCCACTCATGTGTTACTCTAGAACGAAAACTCTTCTTTTTATTTCTAACGACAAAAAAGTTATCGGCTGTTTAATTGCAGAACATATCCAGTGGGTAAGTGACCAAACTGGAGAAGGGCCATCTGTGTCAGTGCTTAGTGACTGTGTTCTTCAGCCATTCTGAAACTATAGAATTACCTCAGAGGGTGTCTGGCTCTTTGGCAGGTAAGTATTCCATGTGTGCCTTTTCCACGGAGGAGGAGACTTTTGGTGGCAGACCGTTCGGAAATGTAGCTACTCATTTTTGTATAGTTGACACCGAGCTGAGGCGCGTGTGTGGTGTTTGCTTGGCTCAGAGCTGCTCATCTAAGAACTTGCTAGAGCCAAAGGATGGACTTTTTCTTCCTCTTTCTTATGCTGGTTCTGGCTCTCCTCTTGCTTGTTGAGAAGCAGATTCAGCTTCCTGCCTGGCAGAAATCCAACGTGGATGAAAAGTGGGTACTCTGTAGGACTGAGTTGAATCGCTGAGGGGTCAAACACCTCCACAGTGAGCAGAAGCAGAGGGCAGAACTGTGCAGTGGAGAGCAGGACGCGAAGTTGTGCTGCCTCTTGCAGTACTAACAACTGATGTCAGGACTTTGTCAAATAATCTGTTCTTTTGTAAGCTGTGGTGTTTTCTGCTGTCCCTTGGGAGTAGCAGAAAAGAAGCAAAACAATCTGAGTCAAAGTCAGAGAAATTGATGCAAACACTTCAATACAGGTGGTAATAAGAATTGGACTACTTGTTGCTGTTATTTTAGATTGGATAAGCTTTAGAGGGTTTTTTCTTTGAATCTTTCATCATCTGTTCCAATTTTGAAACTTAAGAGAAATTAAGTGAGACACAAATACACAATCTCTTTGGTAAGATGTTTTAGCAAGTAAGTATGTTTAACTGAAATAAATTACACAAGAATTATTTTATTCAGTTGTTAGTGATGCTTTTATAAAGTGACAAATATTTTTTACATCACTTGCAGGGCTACAGAGTTATAGAAGAGAAGGTTCCAGAGGTCAGTTCAGAAAATGAGAAAGTCATATTTGAAAGACAGAAGGCGTGGTGCTGCTCAACTTCTCCAGAACCTGCTATTTGTGGGATTAGTCGAATATGGGTGTTCAGCATGATGCGTCGAAAGAAGATCGCTTCTCGGATGATCGAGTGTCTTAGGTAATGTACAGAAAGTTCCTTGGTTACACGTGTCCTAGAGAGAGCTCAGCCCAAGACGTTTATTGCTTTGTGTGTCTCAAGCCTGTATTTTTAAGCTGCCGGTGATATTTGGGATCTAGATTTGGGCACCATTGACAGTTTCAGTATTATGTGGAGTTCAATAACTAACATCAGTGTTCCGCAGCAGCTTGTCTTCAACAGACAATTGTAATGAGTCAGCCTAACAGACTGCCAGTGAGCTTGGGTAGATTCCTCTGAGGTCATTACGAGTGAAGGAAATGAGACTGTCTTTGGTCAGAGTGTGAGATTACCTAGGTGTTAAGGACTGTGACCTAGTCATTGGCCACATGTCCATTCCTTAGAGGTAGAAAAGGAGAAGGAATAGAGATGAGTGCACTGAACTATTTGATAGAGTCTGGTGGTGTCCAACTGTACTTTTTTGGTTTTTCTTTTTTCTCTTTGCTCAGGTTCACTGAGCCTTACGAGGTATTTTCAGTGTACATGGAGCTTTAGTAGCTAGTGGTGAATGTGCAGCTGAGCACAAAGTGCTAAATCCATGAAAGGACCCAAACATCTGTGCTACTTTTTAAATAAATGTTAAAAATGTTGAATCTCCAAACCTTGGGTTTCTTCCAGTGACATTTCCTAGAAGTTTAAATGCCTGTTCTGAGTAATGCCAAGAACTACCCAGATCTTATTACTGCTGGGCTGTCAGGTTTGTGCTGGGTGCCTGGCTAGTGCTGTCTGGTTGGAGTTTGTGGCACAGGTACTGACTGCTGTGCCTGCCAGTCCTTGCCCTCTTGCATGTTTGGAGAGCCTGGCAGAGCTCTGCAGAATGCATCTTGCCTGGCTGGTGGAGCCACTAGAAAGTTCTTGCTGGATCACATTCCGTCTGCACTATTGGCTGTAAAGCTGTATTCAGAGAAGCAGATTAACTTGCTGATTCGGTTGTACTTTTGACTGAATTTTTAATTGTGTATTCAGTAGCTTCCTAGAAACTACTTCTAAAGGAAAGGTTTCTTCTCCAGAGCGATGCTGGAGTTGCTCCTTCAGTTACAGCTCTAAAGCATCTTTAGAATCTATTGGAATGGTTTGTTGTGGCTCACAAGAAGAGGTCTTGGCTGTGCCCTGCATCTTACCTTTTGCTGTCCTCTTGTGCTTGTTTGGCCTTCCATTAGCTCATTGCTTCGTTAGTAGAAAATGGGCTCACCAAAAAGAGCTTTGTGTTCCTCTGGTGCTCAGTTGGTTTGTAGGAAGGTCTGATGAGCTCTAGAGTTGGTGTAAACACAGGAGCCCAGAAGGTTGCAGAAGGCAAAGGAAAGGAGTGAGACCTGCTTCTTGAGGGCAGTCACATCTGCTCAGCTGCCAGTGAAACTCCAATGTACAGGTCTTCTGTAGCAGAAGGCAGTTTGAACAGGATGCTTCTGGTAGCCAGCTAAATCATGCCTTCAGAATGTTGAAGGCATCCTGGCAGACTTTGAAGTCCATTTTGAGAATGTCTGCCCGGTTTCACTCAGGCTTCCCCAGCTGAGCTGCAGTCATGAAAACCTGGTCAGACAGTCGTACGGATCTTGCAAAATCATCTTCCTAAACACACTGAAGAGAAGGGGATAAAGCTGGCAGTAATGAAAAAGGATTCTGTTCCCATTGTCTGTCCCTCAGGACTTCATGGAGATGTCCATATGGGATCGAAGTTAATACTTGCTCTCCAAGTACATCTGAGTTTATTTTATAGCAATTAAAAAACTTAACTTTAATGGGAGTTTCTTCTGTTTCCAAGGACAAACGTTACCTCCTCCTTCCTGACTGAGGTCTTAAACCCTGAGGGCAGTTTTCTAAACTTGCTCACATAGCCATCCAGAGAAGTGCAGTGGTATTCCTCGCTCCTCTCCTCTTCTTCAAAGAAGAATTAAACATACATAAAATATTTTCATGAAGAAGTTAAGCAAATTTAACCTTCCTTTTCACACAGTTGTTACTGACAGTGTCTTACTTATGAATTATGCCTTACGGTTGTGTTCGTAGATATTCTGAATTAACCCAAGATGTGCTCTCGTCCAAATGCCCATTGTTTGGGGTTTGATTTTTATTTTTTTTTCAAACTAGGAACTTGAGATTTCATCAGGTCCCCTCTGTAAGCACGCTGACTTATTTGTAGCTTGTGTTTTCATTCCTAGTGATTGTAGTCATAGTCCCAGCAGTCTCTTTTCTATGAAGAAATAGTTGGAATGAATTTAAGGGGTTTTTTTAAACTCTGAAATTGAACTCTTGATGCAGCTTGCAAATAATTGTTCTGTATTAACACTTCATCTGAAATACCAAAACCTTGTAAAACTCCCCCAGAACAAGTGATCCTCCCTGCCATTTGGAAGGAGATAGGGGGAGATTGCTCTGTCCAGACAAGCTAATGGAGCTGCTTCCTTTTGAATGTCCCTGCCACTTCAGTAATGGTTTGTGGCCTGATGGCATAAATATTCTCTCATTATTCCTGAGGGTAATTATCTTCTTTTTTTTTTTTTCTTTTTCTTTTTTTTTTACTTTCAAACAGGAGCAACTTCATATATGGCTCATACTTAAGTAAAGATGAAATCGCTTTCTCTGACCCCACTCCTGACGGAAAACTCTTTGCCACACAGTACTGTGGCACCGGCCAGTTCCTGGTATACAACTTCCTCAATGGACAGCACCAGACTTAACTGCTCCCGAAGGAATTCCGTGTTCATTGGGATACTGGTGCCGAAGCGCAGGGAGCGGGCGTGGACCTTCAGCAGAAGCCAGGGCCATTTTTATTACAGTGAACTCAGGACTGGTAACAACCGCAAGGTTGTGCTATTTTATTAAAATTGTAAACAATGCAGTAATAGGCTAACTTTGTTTTTTTAAAAGAAAGATATTTTATTAACTTTTACAAAAGTTTGATTGTATTTTATCTAGTTAGTCATGTTTACATGCAGCAGAAAATTGTTCCTAGTGGACTGTAAACTAATGCAAAGACTCTAGTCTCACTGACGAGTACTGCTGAAGTTCACAACGTGGTGATATACCGGTGCTTCTGGGTCCTGGGAGGCTGCTGCCCCTGCCCCTGCCCCAGCCCCAGCCCCGGCGGCTGGGTGAGGCTGTTAGCGGCGGCTGGCCGGGCAGCGCTCAGGGCTGCGCTCGACGGCATCCAGGCAAGGAGCGTCAGGGCGCCGTCGCCGCGGGTGGCAGCCCCACAGACTGCGCGCTGGCTGCCGGGGCACCTCCTGTGCGCTGCTCAGTGTGAGGGGCCTACCGGGTGTCAACAGTGTCAGAAACCTGTCTGCCCCCCTCCCCCGCCCTCCCCTCCTCCCCCAGAGTAGCTGAGGAGTAAGAGGTGGCAGGCAGACCCCGAGGGCTGGTGTACTCATCATTTTTCTTCAAGTACTGTACTGAGTATATACCTTTGTTAGTGGACTTCACTTTGATACTTGTCACTTCTTCATAAATCTCTCCTCTTTTAAAGGGTTTGTATGTTGAAAAACTGCTGTGGCCTTTCTTGATCTGTACATAATGTAGATAGATTAAAAATAAATTACTTGATAGCTTTTTTTTAAGGTTACTCTGCATTGATACCAAGTGTGAATCAGTCTTTAGTGTATTTCATACTTTCGCGTGCGAAGCGCTACTGCAGCAGCTAACGGCAGCGTGTGTTTGGAGAACGTGGTCTCTGGAGAACGTGGTCGCTGCATTGGTACCTGCTCGGGGTCAGAGTTCCCTCTGTGGCAGTGCTTCTGCATAATACCCCAGGGATCGGTTCCCCAGGAGCTCCGGATCAACACCATCCTGATACAGGGTTTACAGCAAGGTGAGAGGCGATGCCTTCACCCTTCAGTAACAGCTTAAAACCCTAATATAAGATGGGAAAGATTTAATGCAGTTTCGACTTATGGTTTGCTTTAATTTTGGAACCTGTGTGCCGTTAGGATACGCTTGTTTATGTTGTGCTGTCCTTAACCTTGGTCTAGAGCTAAAGCAAAGAACCTGCACCACCTCTGAAATGTTCTTCAGCGTACTTAATCCTGAAGTGGGGGAGCGGGGGTGAGTCCTGGTCTGCCGACGCTGCTGTTTCCAAGCTGCAACTCGTCCTTTCCAAGGGGGTCGTGAGCAGACGGTAAGGGGCTTTGTCACCAGCGTGCTGGGGGCTACAGCACATCTCAAGGTGATCCTCTCTGGTGGCCTTGGAAAGGGGGAAGTGCTGAGGTGCTGCTGCTGCTGCTCTAAAGTTCTTGCCTGAGCAATACTGGAGCGTGGCCAAACCAAGCCTATTTTCTACTGCTTATACTTTGGGGGACTAAAAGCTGGTACGTACAGCTGGCGTACGTCCTCCTCTGCTCTGTCTGGCACAAAGCTGCTCCCCCAGGTCACAAGCCCCCCGTCTGAAAGAGCTGTGACACCATCAGCACACCACCCCAACTCCATAAATCCAACAGTGGCCTTCACGGGAGCAGTATGAGGTGGTTTCTCAGGGGCAAGCGCTGCTGTGTGCAGAGAGAGAGAACCAGCGTCCTGTGCAAAGTGCCAGTTAAGAGAGAGGCGGCCTCAATGGTAACTTAATATATTCAAATTTAATGAAAGCACGTTATAAACATTCCATAGCCACAACTTCAGACAGTTTCAGTTCATAAACAATAACATGAGGTAGACTGACTAGTGAAGCTAAATTCACCAAGTTTTTGGTTAAGAAAACTTTACACTAGGAGAGCAACATTTTTAACCCTCTTCCAAAAGTCACAAAAAGCAATTACATAACTTAAGCAAAAAGCATCTGCATATGATTCTTTAAATCTTAGTTTACATTCAAATTTAACCTGTGAAGAGACGAGAACATCTACAGGTAAAATACAACGCTGGCCAGCTGAATACATTCATAAGAATGGCCTTGATGGTGAAGCTTAAAACCAAAATGGAGCTGGGATAAGCTAGATGTCCGGTAAGGGTCTCCTCCCCAGGAGCTCCCAGGCAGCCTGTGCAGGTGTCCAGGGGACAGGCTGATGCCACCTGAGCCGCTTCAGTGCGCTCTGGCAGAGCGCTGCCCAGACTCCTTGCTTCCGCAGGGAAGGGAGCTAAGGACAGGGGTTTACTCCTAGCTGGTGGAGGCAGGGAAACACACTGACTTTCTGACTGCACTCTCAACCTTCAGGACAATTTTGCCCTGCTTCACCAGAGGGCTAACTCCTCAGAGTAGTCTCAGCACCTGGAATTTGAAGACCTTAGTGCAAACATCAAGTACACAAACAAAAAGGAAACCACTTTTGAACACGTAATACCTGAAACTGCTACACCACGCTAAGACTCAGGGTTGGCCTTAAGCCCTTCTGGCAAAACCAGGACAACTGGAATACGTTCACGTGGGTGTCAAAAGCTTCCAGAACCATCTCTGATAATCTCTACTTCTTCCAGGTGTTAAAATAGATAAGGCAGGTTGTGTCTGAAGGAAAATAAAAAACAAACTCACAGAAATGGGTTGTTCATTTGAAATTTGCTAAATTTACAGCATCAGAGTTAAGCTACGTTAAGACAGACATATGCAAACCATTTTCCTTTAGCCTCTGTCAAATATATTATGTTTTTTCATCTGTAAACATCTCTTTTCACAAGATAAAAAAAGTTGCTTAATTAACACTATGCATAAAAAAAAAATGCAGCTTTGGCAGGTCCTTCTTCAGTGAGTTGCAGGTCAAGTATAAAGATGTGTTAATTTCATTGCTTTTTGGGGAGTAAATTGGTATTCCTGAATTGCTTTTAAGAACATGCTGCATTTTTCATTTTAATAAAGGGGTGACAATGTGCAGGAAGATTATTGGGGGTTTCTTGTATGGAAACCTCCGTGGGGTGACCCACACTAACTGACTGCACGAGCAGAAGAGCGCACTGCTTTGATCTGACCCTGCCAACCAAACCTACTGCACCCCGTGCATTCCGGGACAGCTTCGCAAGGATCAGGAATATGCCTGTAAGTAGAATGATGTGTGATTACTGCTACAACCACTATTTACAGAGGTTAATCACAAAATGAAGGGCTGACGGTGTTGTTGGGGGACACATTCAGAGGTCTTTGCCACTGGACAGAGTTTCTCTTGAGCAGTCCCAGCTCCCTGGGACTTCTCCCCGGCTCCCCCCTGGAGCGACTGTAAAACACTGTCTGTTTCTCTCGGATCCAGCTCAGGCTCTGTGCCCACCTGCGCAGGTTCTGGTGTGTTGCTTCACCTACAGGTGTGATGTGACAGACCTGATCTCAGCTCTGCGCCAGCTGGAGCCAAGTGAAAAGGACGTGGGGAGTAAAGATGCACATGGCCCACAAGAAAGGCATCGAGGGGACGGCAGGGCTTGTTTCCATACGCAAAGGAGGACGGACCGCAGGTTTTCAAAACTCTGATGAGAAACTGCAGGTGAGTTGTTGAGAAGTTATTCTGGCCTCTAACTGAGGAGACTGCATCTATGAGAAGCCTTTTGCTTTGTCCCTGGGGTCGAGAGGAGATGCCTAACGGGGTGAGATAACCGTGCGGGGGGGAGAACCTGGGTGCACAGTGCCTGCCATGCATTTGCTGATTTGTTCAGGTTTAAGTAGTAAACTTTGAACACCTGTGGAAATTTTGCCAAAAGACAGTTTCAGTACATACACAATTACAAATTTTAAACTAACACTGCACAGAAAACAAGACTATTCCTTTTAATACAAATACCTATGTTATATTGTAGCTTCAAACCCCTGAGTATTCCTGTACCACAGTACAGAGCTGAAGAGACAACAGTGGGCTCTCCTCCACATATCTTCAATAAATTCCACACGCTGAGTTGCGTTTCATCTAACACATTCAAGCTAGCAGCTGTGGAGAGCAGCTCCTTCCCCTAGCTCAGCTGAATATAAGAAGAATTCTTTTTCAACTAAATTACATCCTCTTCCTAGATCCTACAGCTGGGCTGGCTGCGTGATTAGTGGTTGTGACTGATGTGAAAATAACTTGAATCCAGGATCCTTTAAATCATAACTGATGTGGTATTTATCCCTAGGAATAAATCCTTCTTCAGAATTGTGGGGAATCCTTTAGAGCAGTCTAGATAAATAGCGGTTGCACTTTGCTCCACAGTGATTGTACTTTTTAAAAACAAGTTCTTTTTTCTCTTTGTTAGCTGTGTCTTTGCAAAGCTTATATATGGCGTCCAGTAAGAAAATAGAGTGGTTTGTCATCACTGCTGTTGGCAGTTTGAAACTCATCCCGAAGTCGGAACTGCCACTCATCCTCCAACTCCAGACGGACTATTGTCTGCCGTAACGAGCTTCTGTCTTGACATATGACACACAGGGTGGCACCTTCAATTGAAAAGCACATTAGACTCTCAGGGTACAATAACATCTCTATTTATTTCCTTCATTCTTTTTCCTAAGGTATTTTCAAGAAATCTCTGCTGCTAGGTAGGAAAAAAAAGAAGTATTAGAAGGGTCTAGCAACAGCTGGCCAGCCAAGGCGCAGACCTGTCCCGTGCCTCTGCCCACATCCAGCTCTGGGAGCTTGGCAATGGCAGCACCATCCCCACCGCAGCTGCTGCACGGCTGCACCTTCCTGCACGGCCCCTGTGCTGGGGGCCCAAGTGGGTGCAGGAGCCAAGTCCGAAACGCGGTTCTTGGGACTGGCTCAGGGTCACCCCCACGGCCCCCTGCACATGCACCCTCCTCGCTCGGCTCCAGAGGGAAAGGGCTCAGCTGCGACACCACAGACGCCCTGGAGCTCTGTAACACAGTGACTACCTGAGGCAGTTTGATGTTTGTTAGTACGGAGACAAAATGTTGAAGGAAGATTTTAATGAGGTTTATTTTTATCATCATCCTGCAGCTAAGAGCTGCCCCAATCTACTGCACTGAATATTCACTGCCATTATAGACAGATTACTAGAGCAGAACTTCTCGTCTGCATCAGTAATGCACTATTGCTCTAAACTCTCAAGTTGCTGACTGCACGATTCACTGACTGATTTCCATGTATCCTTGTTTTTCTGCACCTATTTCCAGTTGATGTCACTTTAAAATACCTGAGTGAATGTCATTTATC